ATTATTTTATTGTAAAAAGTATAGATACAAGTCAATAGCACTAACAATTTGTACATTTTCACCTTGTTATTGTTTCTATTATATTATTTAATCTGAATTTATTTTATTTATTATTGTTATTTTGTTTATTTTATACATATAAATATATTTATAATGTTATGTATATATTTATATTTTTATCTATTTATTTATTTAATTATTCTATTTATTTATTTTAACTCGTTTAATTTATTTTGAATATTTTTCTCCAGTAAACTTTCTATTGTTGTATATTTTATTAAATTATTTTATATGTTCAGATTGTTGTTGTTATTATTATTATTATTATTTGATATACTCGTATACATATATTTTTTTGATCATGTCAGATTAAGGTTATATTAGAAGTGCATAGAATTTAGATTTTATTTTTATTTTGAACTCTCCTGAAAAATCTTTCTAAAGCACATTTAAATTTTTGTATTGTAATTGGTTCTGTTATATTGCATATATTTAAATTTTTTATGTTGTACATTATATTAATTTTAATTAATTAATTTTTTGTTTTATAATATTTTATAGTAAAGGTGTCAATAGCACTAGCAATTTGTAAATTTTCACCTTGTTATTGTTTCTATTATATTATTTTATCGATTATTTTATTTAGTTTTGCGTTTTTCTCCAGTAAACTTTCTACTGTTGTATATTTTATTTAATTATTTGAATTATGCATTCAGATTTCATTATTATTATTTTATATGATTTATTAAAAATATTCCCTAGTAAACTTTCTAAGGCAGGCGTAAAGCACTAAACATTTTTAGAATTTCACTGTTTTTCTGTTATATTAAATATTTAATACTTTTTAAAATTTGATTTGTAATTTCTGTATTAATTTACACTGAGCTTCAAAACCAACAAATCCTTTTTTTTTTTATCATGTCATATTTTCATCTTAACTTTAAGAAAATTTAGTTTTCAAATGAACATGCAGTTGTTAGCAGTGTGTGTGTGTGTGTGTGTGTGTGTGTGTGTGTAACGTCTCTCTCTCTTCTCATTCATGCTCACACAGAGGACGCCGAGGAAGGTGAGACGTGACCTCTGCCCTCTAGTGGCCTCTGACCTCTTGATTTAAGTCACACGAGTGTGTGTGTGTGTGTGTGTGTGTGTGTGCGGCAGCGGTACTAACACTCATCCCTCGTTTTAGGTCTTTTCCAAACTTTTTGAAGTTGCCAGGAGCAAAGTGACGCTGAGCGCCCTGATGCCGACGCAGCGACAGAGACTGTCATCCAACAACAACGTCAAGAAGAGGAACTAGCCGTTTGCTAGCGTCACGTTTCGGAGAAACCAATGCGCCGTGAACGTACTCGACACGTTCACCCTCTTCAGTCCCACTCGGGCCGAGGATTCTGGGGGTTTTGCGGGGTCTTTCACCAGGTTTCCTCTTTCTCATGTCATTCCCACGCTGTATGTGTCAAGCGTTCGGCCTCCGGAAGAGGACCTCGTTGAGAACGCTGAATGATTTGTGTGTCTCTGCTGTACAGATGAACTTTCCTCGGCTTCGATCATTCCATCCAGATGTGTTTTCCTGTACAGATTAGGATTTTAAGCTGGTCACGTGTAGGGCATGTTGTGTGAGATCCGTGTGTTTTCTACACTCTTGTGTTGAAGCAGGAAAAGCGATGGTTTCATGTTAATCTGCAGGAATGCTTCGTGATTTCGTGTCCATGTTGGAGAGAAACACACACACACACACACACACACACACTTAGTTTTATACTGTCTTCATTCATGCCATCTGCCTTGAGCGTCATGATTCTGGAATGTTACATTGTTTTTCACTTATTGTTTCTTTAATTTATTTTTCAATTTGATTAAAATGAATCACTGTACATTTACGTGTCGATTGTGTTTGTGTTTGATAATGAGATTCACTTGAGGACAGTGTACATGTTTTAATAAACTGGACCGTTTTTTTATTTTTATTTGACATATTTAGATTTTAAATCTATTTTAATTTGTTTTTATTAAGTTATTATATATATTTTGTATTCTATTATTTTTATTATTGCTTCAAAAAGTTCATAAAGAGATCGTAAAACTATTCCATTAGAATTGAGCGGTTTAGTCCACATTTTTTGAAGAGACTCGATCGATTTATATGATGAACAGATTGAATTTAGGCTTAATTTGTTTGTCTTTCATGGTAGTAATTTTATTCACTTTTTTTTTCATTTTTAGGTGAACTATCCCTTTAAATGTATTTATTTATTTATTTAAAAAATTGTTTTGAATTGGAAATATTTGCATAATCCTGTGCATGATTCATGTAATTCATAAATGAATTTGACGAGAAAAGAAACACAGATCAACAATATGTTTTGCTAACATTCCCATTAAGTTATGAAATTGTTATTTTTGAATTCTCTCTGAACATCCCGTTTTTAAGTGTTTTAAAAAAAAATTCTTGGTTGATGATGAGAGATGATATTTGTTCAACCCCAACAATGTTTATGTGAACCATATAAACTGCAAAATAAAAATATTTATATTTTTTTCAACAGGTAGGAAATAGGATAGAATTGCACTGTTGATTGTAATTAAAACAAATTATTTAAATTATTTAAAAGTATACTCTGTTCAAAATTAAGAAAATTTTAGTAATTTTTATCAATCCTTCCGAAGCGTGTTTTTGTCTTACCCTGATTCACCATTATAAGTGTTTATTGCCCTTTCGGGATGGTTTTGGCGGAAAATTGCGTACATACGTCACTTGCACGTGTGTGTCTCGTCATATAACAACCCGTTTAAATAAACACTCAACAGAGGAGAGTCTGCTGGGGAAATATATATGTTTTGATTACTCGACAGGAGAGTAAGTGTTATATTGAACAGAAGAACTGTAATATGTCTCTCTAACGAAGTTCACTGTAAAGCTTTATGTTGTGAAGATTATTTCAGCAGTGCTGGAGTTTATCTTCAGGGAAGTATCGTGTCTATATTTGTAAAGTTTTGCTCTTCCGCCATTGTGTCTATTAATGGGTAAAACTACAGTATCTTGAGATCTTTTAGTCTAATCTGGTTATATCTGAAGCCTATAGTGAATGTTTTATGAGCAGAAGGATAATCTCTCTCTCTCTTTTAGTTATGAGAAAGAATCATATTCATCCGCACCGTCACTCAGAGCCGAAGCACAACCAGAACAATCTTCTTCCGCAAAAAAAAAAATGGATGCAGTTTTGTTTTTAAACCGCTAGAGGGCCAAAAGTTGCGTAATGTACCTTTAAAAAGACAAAAGTACTCTTTATTAATTTTACTTCATTTATTAGATTAATATATTTTTATTTTATACACAATCATATTATAATATATTTTTTAATTTATTTAAATATATTTATTTACTTGTTATTTTATTCGCCCCTGGTCTAAATGATATGCGTCCTCTTTCCTGCCAGAAGGGGGCGCTGTCACACCTTAGCTGATAAACTATAACCATTATTTATGCTGTTATGTTTTTCCATAACCACACCTTTTCATTGTTATCCGTAAACACGGATCATCTGCAAACTCATAAGATCATCCACACGGTCCTTACGCTGCAGAAACCAACGCTTTAGGAGATTAATCACATTTTCCATGAAAGTTAAAGCCACAGGTAGGATGTTATATAGTCTATAATAGCTATACAAAAAAAAATTATTCTGTTTTCTTTTCTCAAAATTATTAACTTAATCCCATTCCTTTGTGTTTTTTATCTCTTTAATAGATTTTGTTCACTTTTTAAATAAATGTATGGTCTTGTTCTACCTGTTTTTCATATTCTCCTTTTATAAAATATACATGATGTTCTTTCATACACTCAACACAATAGTGTGAAAATGTCCAAACATCAAGAAGAAAAACAAATGGGTGAGTATATTTGCATATCATTAGAGGTAGACGGTTAATTCGGGTTGATTTATGCCATTAACCCTCTGGGCTTCTTCGTAAATGGGTTACACTTAGCTTCCTCCCAATCAAAAACGGATGAAGCCTTAAAATGTAACTTTACTTTTTCCCAGGATAACCAATCAAATATTGTTTTGTTCTATAATATTTTCTGATTAGAATTTTTAGAATTTTTTATGATACTTTGCATTAATTATATAATTTTTATGAGCTATTTTTTCCATTAGAATTAATATATATGTTTTTATTTTATATTTATTTTTTAAAAAAAATCAATAAATGCAACATTTCACATCAAAATAGAGTGCCAGCCTAAAAAAAAAATGTTCAAGTCGAAGAGCGCCATCTAGTGGCTTTAAAAAATAGTTAAATGTGTGCAATGTCCTGTACCAGCCTGTTGGCTGCCTATAGCTTCCTATATAAATTCATAGAAAGGCTTTTTGATTCCTTTTGTTGTTTTAGACATGATTTCTCTATCTTATTCGTTTTTTTTTTATTTAGATATAGATTTTAGATATTCTAAAAGACTACTTTATTTTTTTAACAAATTTTTTTTAGATAAGTATCAGGTTTTGCATTATGATTAAAATCAAACTATAGCATTTGGTTAGAAAGGGAACACAATGCAAACATTTTTGTTACTCAGTATTTGATCATTCAAATAATTAAACAAAATAAGGGATGGTTAGTGATAATTCAAAACACTTTATACAGACATTTAGCAATAAATTGGTATTTTTTATTTATTTATTTTTGCATATTCTCAAAATTTGCTGTTGCAGTTTTACCAGTTAATCTCTCTCTCTCTAGCTCTCTCTCTCTCTCTGTGTGTGTGTGTGTGTGTGTGTGTGTGTGTGTGTGTGTGTGTGTGTGTGTGTGTGTGCATTTGAGCGAGATTTTTTTTTTCATTTATTGATTTTATTTTGCATATTCTACAAATTTGCTGTTGCAGTCTTGCCAGTATATCTGTGTATGTGTGTGTGTGTGTGTGTGTGTGTGTGTGTGTGTGTGGGGGGGTGGTCTTATTTGCACTCTTGATGTTTTAGAGTGTCACCCCTTCATTGCTGTACACTTTTTTTCTCCACAGTGGCTGATCTGTAGCTTGTACCACCAAAAGTTTCTCTGAGTTTTCCTATTTTTTCATATTTCCCATTCATTTCCTATGTCGCCCGTTTTTGACCGGGAGGAAGCTAAGTGTGACTATTTTTTTAGACCCTTTAACATTTCAGAATCATCTCCTTGATTTTTTTGTGTGTTCATATAATACAACAAAAGTCACCAAGTTTCACCCCCATCCGATGAAGCAAAAAAATTAAACAATTCAAAATGTAAACGTTTTCGGTCATTTTCGGACGAAGAAGCCCAGACTGGGAAAAACGTGCTGGTAATACTTTACAATAAGCGTTTCAGTATATATTTCAATATAACATTATATTCAATATATGAATTAATATTTATTGATGTTAGATAAAAAATAGCTGGTCATTGTTTGTTCATGTTAGTTCACAGTGCATTATTGATTTTAATAATGTATTAGTAGTTTAAATGTTGAAATTAATAATAACTAATAAATGCTGTATGTGCCTTATTATAAAGTGTTACCAAAATGCTTAATTTTGGTCAATTTACATCACTCATATTAAATCGTGAAATATGCATGAGATTAATGTGCTTTGATATTATTCGCTCTTCCCGTTTTGTCTCCCAAGAGTTGAGAGTGGTGTTGCTCGGAAGCCGTCAAACTGGGAAGACATCAGTGATCGACACTATACTGGGAACCAGTGCAACACACGAGCTGGTGAAGAGAGAGGGCTTTATTGATGGCAGGAGACTCAGACTGGTTGAGACCCCCGGCTGGTGGAAAACATTCAGTCTTAATGATTTATCAAACATCTGCAAACAGCAGCTGGCTCGCAGGATTGCTCTGACGTCACCGGGACCCCACGTGGTGTTGATCGTGATTCGGGCCGATCGCACGTTCACCGATTCCGATGGGAAGTTTCTGGAGGAATATGTGGAGCTGATGGGAGCGAATATCTGGCCTCACACACTCATAATCTTCACAAGAGGAGATTTGATCGAACGAGAACACATAGAGCAACGTGTTCAGGATCCGGGGTCAGCGCTCAAGCGACTCGTTGAAAAATGTGACGATAAATATCACGTTTTTAATAATTCAAACCGTCATGATCGAACACAAGTCACAGAGTTGCTCAAGAAAATCGAAGGTATTGTTGGGAAGAATAACGGCAGGCACTTTGACATTGACTTGGATAAAGTAAAGGAGGTTAATGAGCGCTGGGAGGAACTTCAGACGAGAGCGAGTGCTAGAAAACACGGAGTACAGAAGCAACGGTCGATAGTTAAAGGGAAAGGTACGGCGGTTTGAATTGAAAGACTGAGGCCCCGTCCACACTACTGCGTTTTCGTTTAAAAACGGAGACCTTTTGCTACGTTTGCATCTCCCGTCCAGACTAAAACGGAAAAAATGAAGACCTAAAACGGAGACGTTTAGAAACGCTGCAGCTCCGTTTTGCGTTTAGAATATCCGGAGGGCGTTTTAGGCTATGTTTACACGGAAACGATCTGAAGAGAAAACGCAAAAGTGGCGCAAAAAATCTGCGTGCATACGGTGACGCAAAAGTGTGTGAAATTCGATGTAGTATGCACTCCAGGCAGCTAGGTGGCAATGTGAAGCACTGCCACACAACAACACCAATATCTTAGAATATTTTGTACAACTGCCGAAAAGACTCTTTGTATGTTTTTCAGAGCTGCTAGGGCAACTTGAAGGTCCAACGTATGGAAATAATCTGACATGTTGGTTGCTATTTTCCTGTACTGGCACATGCATGTGACGTAAACGCGTACGCGACGAGAGCCACCGTGAGCACTGGTGGACGACGGTGGAGCGTTTTTAAGATTTCCACTCTGGAGGGTGGTTTCACTTTTTTGCGTTTTTAAGCCCCCAAAACGCCGTTGCCGTGTAAACGAAAGGCACATCCGATAAAATATTTTTACGTTTTCACCCGGAATCGTTCTCATGTAAACAGGGCCTTAGTGAAGACGGGACAAAACGGAGGACTTTAGAAACGATGACGCAGAGGCTCACGCTCGGCTCTATGATTGGGTGTCATCAGTCATGACGTATCCTTCCCTGATTCGTCAGCCACCCATCACATGTCAATCCGTTTCCTGTTTACACCGGCACGCGCATGCCCAGTGTTGGTGAATGGTCACGTGATCCGTGTTTTTAGGCGTTTTAATGTGGACGGAGATCAATTCAATGGGAACGCCGCGTTTTTAGAACGCCATGAGCGCAACGAGGCGCTGAACGTTTTTTTCACGCTGAAGCGCTGAGAGCTCGGCGTTTTCACTGGTTGCCGAGAGTTGAAGAGTGTTTAACTCTGGGTAAACGCAGCGCTCATCACTGTCACTTTTTACCCAGCCGTCCAATCACAGTGGAGGAGGGGCGGGGCTAATACCACACCGAGCAACTGTCACAACATTCTTTCTGTACAACAACATCAACCAGCAGAGCTAACCGAACAAAATGGATGAAAAATAAATTTTTAGTATGAAACAAATTATCTGCGTAATCAGTTACAAGTAAACTGTGCTGCGGATATTCTGTATCATAGCAACGAAACGACTCAACGGAAAAAACGCTGCGCTGCCAAAACGCTCTCATGCGCCCACAGCTAGGCGTCTTCAGCAGAGCGTCCAGCGTTTTCAGCTGGCTATCAACGCTTCGGTGGACACACGGCCTAATACGCAGATAAAACGCTGGTCTGGACGGAGATCGTATTCGTTTTAATTCTCCGATTTTAAATGAAAACGCAGTAGTGTGGACGGGGCCTGAATCATTTGCTTGGTTTATGTAATTGATAACTCACTTTGATGAGATAATAAATATATGAGCTAACAAAATATGTTCTAAGAATGTTTTACGTTTATGGAAATTATGAAAGTTGAAAATGATCGGTTATTTATAGAGTTGAGAAACTGGTGTTATAGCGACACCGGTGGCCGTTCAGTGGAACTGCAGCTCTTTCTGCTCGTGCTCGTGAACAGTAACACACACACACAAGAGACTGAACGTGATTCAAGACTCGATATACTCACGGAGAAGATCATTTAGTTCTTTACTTAGAAGTAAATAGAAGTTAGAAATACTGTTTCAGTGATAAACTTTTAATGAACATGAACCACTGCTGAGAGCGACGTTCAGATGAATATGTAAATATGTGCTGATATTCCTCTCAATAACAGAATAAACACACAGAAATGAGAAAGCAGAAGTTCAGAAAGCATCTGATCAAGTGATGTGTGTGTTTACAGCAGATCTGAGATCATCATGTCCACGGATGAGCTCAATATAATCATACGGTTATGATATATGATTATAAAGTATATTTGAGACTGTAGACTATATAGATCTGGCTATGAGAGACTATAGTTTGAATGAATCCATGACACACATTAACATTACAGTACAGAACGGCTCTTTCAGCTTATTATCCTGAACATTGTATAAGCATTCGTATTTAGAAGTAGTAGAGAAGTAGTTCAATTAGCTAACGAACGTTTGTTCATAACTTTTTGAGAGAACCAGTGATTGTATTGCATTTTAAACGTATGGAGATTTAAAAATAAAAATGTTTATATTTTGTGTTTTCATTTCAGCATATGTACATCTTCTTGAGGAGGTCAGAGTTGTTTTGCTGGGATGGATCCTCTCCGGAAAGAGCGCAGCCGGAAACACAATCTTGAATCGGGATGAATTTGACATCGGAGGAAGAACAGGCGAGGGAATAAGAGGCTTCGGAGACGTGGACGGACGGACGTTGACCGTTTTAGACACTCCGGGATGGTGGAAGTATTTTGCATCAGAATTTAACCCAGACTTTATTAGATCTGCCATTTTAAAAAATGTTTCCGAGTGTAAGAAATTCCCTCATGCCCTGTTGCTCGTGATTCCAGCCGATACATCATTTCAGGAAGAGCAAAAGCGAATCATTGAGGAAAACATGTCTATATTAGGAGAGGACGTCTGGAGACACACTATAGTTCTGTTCACGTGGGGTGACCGGTTTAAAGACGTCTCGATCGAGCAGCACATCGAGAGCGAAGGTGAAGCGCTTCAGTGGCTGATTGTGAAATGCAAGTACAGATATCATGTGTTCGACAACACAGACAAGAAGAATCGAGCTCAAGTCACAGAGCTGCTCCAGAAGATCGACGAGATGGCGGCAGAAAACAGTGTGTTTCGTCTCGACACACACAAATACACTGATCCGGAGAAAAGCCATCCGAGACAGGAGGATCCGATGATGACCGAGATCAGACTGGAGGATGTGTGTCACTTTCTGGACGACGGCTTTAAGAGAAAAGCTGAAGAGATTAGAAGGAAGATTGAAAACTTACGCGGGGATATCATGGAAGAACGTCTAAACTTTGATGAATGTAGCAAGGGTACTCCTCCTATCTGTAAGGTTTTACTCAATTTTGTGTTCTCTGATATACTTTATGATGTTTCTCTGGTTTATACAGTGTCGTACAAGTACTTGAATTTGACTTTTTGAAATTTAAGTCCTGAAAAACCCTTAAAAGCAGCCATTTTTATGAAGAAGAATTATTGAAAGACAATATATGGGAAAGTTATATTTAAAATTTTATTGATCAAACAATGTTTTCACACAAAATTAACTCTACAGTCCGTCTGATATACACTCACCTAAAGGATTATTAGAAACACCACACTAATACTGTGTTTGACCCCCTTTCGCCTTCAGAACTGCCTTAATTCTACGTGGCATTGATTCAACAAGGTGCTGAAAGCATTCTTTAGAAATGTTGGCCCATATTGATAGGATAGCATCTTGCAGTTGTCATGCACATCCAGGGCACGAAGCTCCCGTTCCACCACATCCCAAAGATGCTCTATTGGGTTGAGATCTGGTGACTGTGGGGGCCATTTTAGTACAGTGAACTCATTGTCATGTTCAAGAAACCAATTTGAAATGATTCGAGCTTTGTGACATGGTGCATTATCCTGCTGGAAGTAGCCATCAGAGGATGGGTACATGGTGGCCATAAAGGGATGGACATGGTCAGAAACAATGCTCAGGTAGGCCGTGGCATTTAAACGATGCCCAATTGGCACTAAGGGGCCTAAAGTGTGCCAGGAAAACATCCCCCACACCATTACACCACCACCACCAGCCTGCACAGTGGTAACAAGGCATGATGGTTCCATGTTCTCATTCTGTTTACGCCAAATTCTGACTCTAACATCTGAATGTCTCAGCAGAAATCGAGACTCATCAGACCAGGCAACATTTTTCCAGTCTTCAACTGTCCAGTTTTGGTGAGCTCTTGCAAATTGTAGCCTCTTTTTCCTATTTGTAGTGGAGATGAGTGGTACCCGGTGGGGTCTTCTGCTGTTGTAGCCCATCCGCCTCAAGGTTGTGTGTGTTGTGGCTTCACAAATGCTTTGCTGCATACCTCGGTTGTAACGAGTGGTTATTTCAGTCAAAGTTGCTCTTCTATCAGCTTGAATCAGTCGGCCCATTCTCCTCTGACCTCTAGCATCAACAAGGCATTTTCGCCCACAGGACTGCCGCATACTGGATGTTTTTCCCTTTTCACACCATTCTTTGTAAACCCTAGAAATGGTTGTGCGTGAAAATCCCAGTAACTGAGCAGATTGTGAAATACTCAGACCGGCCCGTCTGGCACCAACAACCATGCCACGCTCAAAATGGCTTAAATCACCTTTCTTTCCCATTCTGACATTCAGTTTGGAGTTCAGGAGATTGTCTTGACCAGGACCACACCCCTAAATGCATTGAAGCAACTGCCATGTGATTGGTTGATTAGATAATTGCATTAATGAGAAATTGAACAGGTGTTCCTAATAATCCTTTAGGTGAGTGTAGATATAGAGGCATTTCCCATGGCTATGAGTGTGATATTGATATCTTTCATTCTTCAGCTCAATCATATATCAATGGGAGAAAAAATCAGTTTGAATAAGGAAAGCGATATCTTTATCATAGTGTCCTTTCACTGGTTTCTGCTGCACTTTATTTGTACCATTTTGTTTTATTAGTTTTTTTTTATATGTATTTATTTTTATAATTTAAAAGATAATAAAGAAAGATATTGTTTGATAAATGAGATCTCTGATTGTAGTCCTTGAAAAAAACAAACAAGAAAAGCAGTGCTTGAAAGTCCTGGAATTTAATCAATTTTACATTGTCTGTATGAGTACGAACCCTGTTTATATGTTCAACATTTTGTTTTATTTGTAGTTGAGGATGAACTTCCTGATTCCCAGAAGGAAGTGATCATTCCAGCTCAACAGGACAACAGTACGTTTAACAGAATTACACTGAAAATGTACATTCTTGAGAAAAGATGAAACATGCTGAAAAGAGTTGAGAGTTATACAGCCTTATCGACGGCTAAAAACAGTGAAATAAGACAGAATATGTTTAGTAAATGTCGACACATGTGCAGTAAAGGATCGGGGATCATGATCCTGATCTCGAACAGTTTGTGGTGTAAACACTGATGACACGCTCAAATCTCTTTCAGTTCCTGAGCCGATTAAAACACTTCTGGAGAGAGAGTTCAGCCGATGGGAAAGTATCATCATAGAAGGCGTCCGGGAAAGTTTGCTGGATATTAAATCATCATTTGGTGAGTTATTCAACTATAATAGATCAACACCCAATGTATTATGTGTTTGTGTTCCACAGAGGAAAGTGCACTTCATAATTCATTTGTCCTGTGCTCATATTTCCAGAACTCTCTCCGGATGAGAAGCGGCAGATGACAGAGGACTCTGTGCAGAAGTGGCTCAAGAACTGCAGACATTATGTGGAACACACGGTGGATAAAATACGAGCTCCTTAATCAGGGATCTGAAGATCCAGTGTGTGTGTGTGTGTGTGTGTGTGTGTGTGTGTGTGTGTGTGTGTGTGTGTGTGTGAGAGAGAGAGAGAGAAAAGCCCTCGCTGCACAGAGAATCAAGGAGAAACAGCTCCACTTTTTGACATTCTGCCCCGATTATACAAACATCAGGGACTCTTTCTGTCCTCTTTTCACAACTCATAGCTTCATACAGATAACAGATTCATAACTCATAGCTTCATACAGATAACAGATTCATAACTCATAGCTTCATACAGATAACAGATTCATAACTCATAGCTTCATACAGATAACAGATTCATAACTCATAGCTTCATACAGATAACAGATTCATACAGATTCATAACTCATAGCTTCATACAGATAACTTGTATTTGTTGTATTGTTTTGGTTGTTTGCTGTTGTGTTTCATTGCCTTTCCACTATGTAAAGCGACCTTGGGTTTGTGAAAGGCGCTATATAAAATAAACTTTTTATTATTATAACCCACCAGAAAGACTTCCATCAGAAATCAAATATGGACAAATCCCACTCCTGCGAGGAGAAAGCCCAGCGAGCTCGAACCTGGCTGCCAGGTGTGTGTGTGTGTGTGAGAGTGTGTGTGTGTGTGAGAGAGTGTGTGTGAGAGAGAG